TACATTATACTTACCCACATACCAAATCCAAAGAAAGGAATCTATTTAATAACCCAAAATAAGATTAATTTTGACACTAACACTATGAACGATAAATAAAAACAAACACATACATATTTCAAGGAATCTTTTGCGAAATACTTGACGTGCGGTAGCATGTTCCTACGTATTGCAACTGAATGCAGCATGTAAAAAATCTGTAAAAGATTGATGGTTGCTAATCACTATAGCACTTTCATCCGATGGAATTTTATCACCCGAGAAGGTGATATGACCCTTGTGTTGACGCTTTTGATAGGAAATTAATAAAAAATTAACATCAAGCTAACTAAACATTATTAGCAGGAAAAATCAGTCTACCTCAAAGATATACTTTAATATGAGGAATGTAATTAGAATCAGTATTGAATAATGCTAAATGTGAGTCTAGTGAATACAAGGAAATATTCACAACTTGCCTGCATAACCCACCACATACTTTGAGCTCCACGCGTGTTGATACTCCATACTAGTTTTCTGGAGAACGGTATTAGTAGCAAAGAGCATAACTGGACAATATTTATACTAATGGCAAAACTACAGAATAAATTAAACGATTTTGAGTAACAGCTTTGATTTAACAAATAGTAAAAGTTATCAACGGCCAACCTAAACAATGCAGTGCCATAAAAGCACAGCCGAAGAGCTTGCGAAATGTATTTTAATATTTGCATATCGATATTATCCAGATCAAAGATTAACTTCAATCTGATATTTATACGACTGAAATTTTTTATTTCGACCAGAATTATGATTGGATGAACTAGGCGCAGGCCATAAATTTACAGCTTTCGATCATATGATTACATGCCATTACACGTATGACGTATCCCGATAAATTACAGTCTTAATAGTCTTAATGAGGTTCTTTTTAACATCATATAATCACAAGTCGAAACATAAAGATTTGAGATGTATTTTATATTTTATTTAATAGAATCAGAACGAAAAAAAGCTAAAGTTGTGTGCTTCCCTGAAGATTTGATTGGTTAATTTCGTTGATTAACGTTATTTTATACACACCTCTACCGGAAAATGATTCTTTTTTATTAAAGTACGTTATATAAAAAATGAAACTTTACGCTTACATAGAAAGATTTAAGTTAATTAATTACGTTTTTTAAAAATAATGGTTAAAAATTTTTATAAGCAAATTTTCTAAACGAGAAATTGGTTTCAAAAATTTTTATATATAAAATGTATGTTTCACAAGTCTTTTCGACAAGTATTCTTTCAAAAACCTTTGGTGTGGTATGTAACCTTTCTAAATATCTTCTAAATATTTTCCAAACGCATAAATTACCTGTGAGAGATATGAAAATATTTGGAAAAGTTGCATATTACACCAAAGATTTTTGAAAAAAATACTTGTAAAAAGGTTTATTGTTCTACCTATGTTTTATACAGTATAAAAATCTTAAAGCTAAGTTCTCGTTAGAAGATTTGCTTATAAAATTTTTTATAATTAACTTTAATCAAGTAAAAAATAAAGATATATTAAGGGTCCTGATTTTTCCACACCCTTTTTTGATATTTCTACACCCATATGTAAATCATGTTTTTTTTAACTTTGATCGAAATAACTCGACACCCACACAACCAAATTCGGTGAAATTTTTTTATTTGAATTCTCCAGAAATGTAGAATTCAAATAAAAAAATTTCATCGAATTTGATTATGTGGGTGTCGAGATACCTTCGATCAAAGTCAAGAAAATTTTGCCGCAGCTAATATTTTGATAGACAATAAAAGATATCCCAAACCAAATTTGATGAATTTTTTTTTTATTTTGAATTCTAATGTTCCAGAGAATTCAAATAAAAATTTCATCAAATTTAGTTGTGTGGTTGTCGAGTTATCGATATATCTTCGATCAAAGTAAAAAATTTATAATCGTCAAGATTTTTTTGACTTTGATCGAAGATATCTCAACAACCACCCGACCAAATTCGGTTAATATTTTTATTTAAATTCTATGGAACAGTTGAATTCAAATAAAAAAAAACCCATCAAATTTGGTTTGGTGGTTGTCGAAGTACCTTCAATCAAATTTAAGAAAAATTTTTAAACGAAAATAATCTGCCGCAACAAGATTGTCACAGCAGATCCTCGATTTTGATTGGCTAACGGCTGAGGTTCTTCAAAATTTTGGCCCGCATTACATAATTGTTTACTAATTCCCAGCCGGAATTAACTTTTTAATTTTTTCTTTACAAAAATGGAAATTTTAAAAAATAAGCTAAAATTGGTCTAATAAGTGGTTGCGAGTAATTCTAGCCAATTTTTTGATCATTGCTTTTAGCCAATCAAAATCAACTATGGTTAATATCAAATAGTTGTGACAAAATCTTATTAACTTTAATTAAAAGTATTTATAACTAAGTTTGATGAATTTTTTTTATTTGAATTTCATACTTCTGAAAAATTTAAATAAAAAAAATTTTATAAAATTTGGTTGTACGAATGTTTAGTTATTTTCAATTAAAGTTAAAAAAAATATAATTTATATATAGATATAGAAATATTAAAAGAGTATGAAAAATTAGAACTCTATATTAATATTTAAATTAAAAACTTTTATATATAATTTATAATATAGAAAATATTTTTTTATATAGTATATTATAATATAAAATTCTTTATTCCTTAAACTATAAGCAATTCTAGACAAATTTGCTTTGAAAATTGCTATAAATTTGTTTATAATTTACTTTTTTTTAAAATTTAAAATATTTAAATAGAAGGGTGTAGTGACTAGGGTTGTATTACGCAAAATTACATTTTTACATTACATGAAATTACATTGTAAATTACGAAACTGTAATGTAATTT